TAACATGAGGGAGGCTAATACATTCCACATACCTCAGGCGGATAACGATGTAGTGATCTGTATTTTGTCTACACAGATTAAGATTATCTTGTTTAAAAAATAGGCCATGGAAAAAGTAAAATTCTGGAACCATCAAGGTGATGGTTTACAGTATTATATGCGCTTTTCATGAATACTTGAGAGGACGACGGTATCTTAAGAGTTAGAAATGAAGGATTTCTCGTCAACACACAACCAGGAGAGTGGAAAGATATAGAAATAGGGATCACCATACCAACAAGTAATCGCAAAGTTTTGAAGTTAAGGAAACTTAAGCTCCCACATACATGTAGAAAAACATGAGAAAAAGTAGGGTTTCACTCTCTTGGGAGACATAGACATATGAGACAGATGAGACATATGAGACAGATGTAGACGTGAAAGTGACAGGTCCCCACATAGCAACCACAGGTCCTTAAATGGGACCTACACGTCCCCACAGAGTACCCATTGGCCAGGTCCCCAGAAGGAACCCATTGGCCAGGTCCCCAGAAGGAACCCATTGGCCAGGTCCCCACAAGGAACCCATTGGCCAGGTCCCCAGAAGGAACCCATTGGCCAGGTCCCCACAAGGAACCCATTGAGCAGGTCCCCACAAGGAACCCATTGAGCAGGTCCCCACAAGGAACCTATTGGGCAGGTCCCAACAAGGAACGTATTGGGCAGGTCCCCACAGTTCCCGACATGGGATCCCCGCAGCAGAAGAAAAAAAGATGTACCCAGTAAAACCTGGAGACAAGGAGATATTAAGATGTGCTGTAGTTAGGGACAGCTAGAGGAAGAGGTATGCGGGTACATGTTGCATCTTTATGTAGGCTTAGAGCATCCTCTGGTGTAATATTGTGATGGGTGGTACCGTGTACTGCAGTAGTGTTATGTGTAATACCATCCACTTGATACTATTGTGATGGGTGGTACCATCCTCTTGTTACTATTGTGATGTGTAATACCATCCACTTGTTACTATTGTGATGTGTAATACCATCCACTTGATACTATTGTGATGTGTGGTAGCCTATTTAGATGCACTACAGAACTAAAGCGCTTGATAAGCGAGAACTTTGATATTTAACATCGTTATCGAGGTGAATTTAAAGACTAGTCAAAACAACACTCACATTTCGGATACTTGATAGGTGTAAGCTATACTTGATAGGTGTAAGCTATACTTGATAGGTGTAAGCTATACTTGATAGGTGTAAGCTATGCTTGAGTCAACAAACCGCTGCTTGGAGAAGAACTAGGAAACATTTAGCCAAACTCACCCAGGTAAATCCATCCTTGATAGTTCTCTACGTTAGTAGTGTGTTGTGTTAGTTATCTCAGTAGTGTGTTGTGTAAGTTCTCTACGTCAGTAGTGTGTTGTGTTAGTTCTCTACCTCAGTAGTGTGTTGTGTTAGTTCTCTACCTCAGTAGTGTGTTGTGTTAGTTCTCTACATCAGTAGTGTGTTGTGCTAGTTCTCTATCCCAGTAGTGTGTTGTGTTAGTTCCCTACCTCAGTAGTGTGTTGTGTTAGTTCTCTACCTCAGTAGTGTGTTGTGTTAGTTCTCTCAGTAGTGTGTTGTGTTAGTTCTCTACCTCAGTAGTGTGTTGTGTTAGTTCTCTACATCAGTAGTGTGTTGTGTTAGTTCTCTACCTCAGTAGTGTGTTGTGTTAGTTCCCTACCTCAGTAGTGTGTTGTGTTAGTTCTCTACCTCAGTGGTGTGTTGTGTTAGTTCTCTACCTCAGTAGTGTGTTGTGTTAGTTCTCTACCTCAGTAGTGTGTTGTGTTAGTTCTCTACCTCAGTAGTGTGTTGTGTTAGTTCCCTACCTCAGTAGTGTGTTGTGTTAAATCTCTATATCAGTAGTGTGTTGTGTTAGTTCTCTACCTCAGTAGTGTGTTGTGTTAGTTCTCTATCTCAGTAGTGTGTTGTGTTAGTTCCCTACCTCAGTGGTGTGTTGTGTTAGTTCTCTACGTCAGTAGTGTGTTAGTTTTCTACCTCAGTAGTGTGTTGTGTTAGTTTTCTACCTCAGTAGTGTGTTGTGCTAGTTTTCTACCTCAGTAGTGTGTTGTGTTAGTTTTCTACCTCAGTAGTGTGTTGTGCTAGTTTTCTACCTCAGTAGTGTGTTAAGCTAGTTTTCTACCTCAGTAGTGTGTTGTGTTAGTTCTCTACCTCAGTAGTGTGTTGTGTTAGTTCTCTACCTCAGTAGTGTGTTGTGTTAGTTCTCTACCTCAGTAGTGTGTTGTGTTAGTTCTCTACCTCAGTAGTGTGTTGTGCTAGTTTTCTACCTCAGTAGTGTGTTGTGTTAGTTCTCTACCTCAGTAGTGTGTTGTGTTAGTTCTCTACGTCAGTAGTGTGTTGTGTTAGTTCTCTACCTCAGTAGTGTGTTAGTTCTCTACCTCAATAGTGTGTTGTGTTAGTTCTCTACGTCAGTAGTGTGTTGTGTTAGTTCTCTACCTCAGTAGTGTGTTGTGTTAGTTCTCTACCTCAGTAGTGTGTTGTGTTAGTTCTCTACCTCAGTAGTGTGTTGTGTTAGTTCTCTATCTCAGTGGTGTGTTGTGTTAGTTCTCTACCTCAGTAGTGTGTTGTGTTAGTTCTCTATCTCAGTAGTGTGTTGTGTTAGTTCTCTACCTCAGTAGTGTGTTGTGTTAGTTCTCTATCTCAGTGGTGTGTTGTGTTAGTTCTCTACCTCAGTAGTGTGTTGTGTTAGTTCTCTACCTCAGTAGTGTGTTAGTTCTCTACCTCAGTAGTGTGTTGTGTTAGTTATCTCAGTAGTGTGTTGTGTTAGTTCTCTACCTCAGTAGTGTGTTAGTTCTCTACCTCAATAGTGTGTTGTGTTAGTTCTCTACCTCAGTAGTGTGTTGTGTTAGTTCTCTACATCAGTAGTGTGTTGTGTTAGTTCTCTACCTCAGTAGTGTGTTGTGTTAGTTCTCTACCTCAATAGTGTGTTGTGTTAGTTCTCTACGTCAGTAGTGTGTTGTGTTAGTTATCTCAGTAGTGTGTTGTGTTAGTTCTCTACCTCAGTAGTGTGTTGTGTTAGTTATCTCAGTAGTGTGTTGTGTTAGTTCCCTACCTCAGTAGTGTGTTGTGTTAGTTCTCTACATCAGAAGTGTGTTGTGTTAGTTCTCTACCTCAGTAGTGTGTTGTGTTAGTTCTCTACCTCAGTAGTGTGTTGTGTTAGTTCTCTACCTCAATAGTGTGTTGTGTTAGTTCTCTACGTCAGTAGTGTGTTGTGTTAGTTATCTCAGTGGTGTGTTGTGTTAGTTCTCTACCTCAGTAGTGTGTTGTGTTAGTTCTCTACCTCAATAGTGTGTTGTGTTAGTTCTCTACGTCAGTAGTGTGTTGTGTTAGTTCTCTACCTCAGTAGTGTGTTAGTTCTCTACCTCAGTAGTGTGTTGTGTTAGTTATCTCAGTAGTGTGTTGTGTTAGTTATCTCAGTGGTGTGTTGTGTTAGTTCTCTACCTCAGTAAAGTGTTGTTAGTTCTCTACCTCAGTAAAGTGTTGTTAGTTCTCTATCTCAGTAGTGTGTTGTGTTAGTTCCCTACCTCAGTAGTGTGTTGTGTTAGTTCTCTACCTCAGTAGTGTGTTGTGTTAGTTATCTCAGTGGTGTGTTGTGTTAGTTCTCTACCTCAGTAGTGTGTTGTGTTTGTTCCCTACCTCAGTAGTGTGTTGTGTTAGTTCTCTACCTCAGTAGTGTGGTTTGTATGCGTCATTTGAGTTGTGTGTAGCCGTGTTTTTTTTTAACGCAACGTTAATCTTGGTGGGCTTGAATAGGATTCAGCCTACCTTAGGGCAGATTCACATAACAATACTTCTGAGAGAAATAAGTTTCAAAGTGCGAACTTATCTGACTGGGAGAAATGTGTTTCGGACTACGAACATATTGGGCTGAGATAAATGTTTCAGAGTACAAACCTTTCGAGTAAGATAGCCTGTAGACTATGTTGGAAACGATAATTTTGTGGACCTAGTCTTATGTGCAAACATCCCAAAATCAAAATCAAACGTCCAACATAATCCACAAACAACAGCACGATAATAACTACACCATCTAAAGCATTAGCCATCAAGAGTAAACAGCAACGAAATAAAAACAAGGCGAACGATTGAAAGAAAAGTTAAACTAAATTTTCTATCCCAGTGTTAAGACTGATGGTACCACGATGTTATGTAGAGTGTACTGTTCACATCAGCGGATCTAGCCCTTAAGATTTGGGTGAGTTAGGTATAAACAAATCTACTGTGGGGGTCGGAGCTAATTATCCACGTCCGTCTCGTGCTCCGCCCATAGCTGATTAGTTTAACATAATTAAGCATTCATTAGGAAAAAGCTACACAATATCATAAAGACATATCAAACGATTAGTTGACTAATATAAAGGTGTGCATCTGAATTCCCTCTCCCTGTGTACAAGCCAGCCCTACCTATGATTGCTTGTACATCTTTACCATGAAAACTAAAAAAATTTGTTCATTTTTGCTTTCAAACTAAAAATATCTTTATGTATTATTTGCCTTGGCTTATTGGTTTTTTTTTTTCGTTTCAAATTTATTTTTAATTTTTTTCGAATTGATTTTAAATGCGTTTTCCAAAATACATCATTTGATATCTTAAAAATAATGTGTTTGCGAGTTGTTGACGTATTATCGTGATTTTAAATTCCTGGTGTAAGCTAAACTAGACAGCGGTTTCAATTTCTTACAAAAATTGGGCGCGCAACTGTGGGCGGTTAAACAGTGGGCGTGATTTTTTAAAATTACAATTTTAGAAATTAATTTGATAGCTGACGTTTCGGCCCTCAGATTGTGATGTGTGTGTGTGTGTTTTTTACGACATCTCAGCGGATGTGTAATCAGCATATTTGGCTTCTTACATATCTCATCTGATGTGTAATTATCTGGCCTCTTGCAGACAAAACATCCTCACAAACGTACACATATTTAACACAAAAGAAATTAAGCATTTGTATGTTTCATAATTTAAACAATAGTTTACATAAATATAAGCAGCTACATGTCATCTATACTGTAGCTTGTAGGCAGGTTAACATGAATAAAGCACATTCTAGAAATAATAATCCATGTAACGCGAGGCGAGTTTGTATCGTTTTATGAATTAATTGAGTACAGGGTTAAGGTTAGAGTTAGAGCCGATGTTAAACGGTTGTGGGGGACGAGTGACGTCGCCTCCAGAACATGACGAGCTTGGCGAGGGTACGTCTAAACCGTTTGCTGAAACACGAGTACAGGTAGAAGTTGACCGAGGCGTTGACTAGCCCCAGCAGGTTGCAGATGTTGCCGGCTATCTTGACGGCCGTGCGGCTGCTGGTGCTGCTGGTCAGGTTATTGCTGGCGATGTAGGTGTTGTAGAGGTGCAGCGTCGTCCACGGCAGCTGGCACAGCAGGAAGATCATCACGATCGTGACCAGTAGCAGCGTGACTTTGTTCTGCTCACGCGAGAAGCGCCGGCTCTGGCGTTTTTTGGTGAGGGAGATGGTGGCGGAGGAGGGGGAGGACCGGTCAGAGGTGTGGGAGGAGGAGACGTTGTCGGAGAAGTGGATCTGGCTGATGTGGTTGCTGCTGTGGTGTAGCCCACTGTGGTGGTGGTTGAGCTGGTGCTTCTTCTCCTTCCCGTTGGAGGTGTGGTGGTGGCTTGTTGAGATGAGGGCTAGCTGTTCGCGGCGCCGCGTGGCCACGAAGAGAGCCCGGATGAGGATGATGTTGAAGATGGTGAGGCAGACGAGGGGGATGAAGGTGAAGACGGTGACGTACCACCAGGCGTACACGTGCTCGTAGCCGAAGCTCTGCGCGAACTCCGTGTCCGTACACTTGAGGCCCCGCGGCGTGCTGACCACTTTGAGCTCGAACAACGTCGGCACGGTGTTGGCCACGACTAGCACCGTCACGGCCATGGACGCCAGCTTAGCCCGGTTCACCGTGCACCAGACTTTCCCGTGGATGGGGTGGCAGACGGCGATGTACCGCTCCACCGTGAAGACCACCGTCACCCACACAGCCACGTTACCGGAGTAGTTGCTGACGAACCTGCCGTACGGGTTGAAGTGGTACGCCGTCTCGGCCAGGTCGCGTCTGCTGCAGTCCAGGATGGAGAGGATGAAGTTGAAGAGCAGGAACACGCTATCGGCCAGCGAGAGAACCAGCAGGTAGACGTTGGTGGAGGTTCTCATGCTGGGCTGAAAAAGGACCAAGATGTTGAGGATGTTGCCCAGAAGTCCTACCGTGGCCACGATGGGGGTCAGGACATTCTGCACGACAAACCGCGTGGTCCTTAAGGACTCGGCCACCGTCGCCACGTGCTCGGGGGCGTACGATGACGCGTTGGTGACGTCATCGTAGTAGGCCGGTGACGTGTTGGTGTAGGTGACGTAGGACGTGAAGCCGTGGAAGACTTCGAGTGTCGCCATCTCAAGCTGGGGGGTCACGTGACGAGAGAGATGAAGAATTTTAAAAACGTTTCCACATATCACCTGTTTACTGCATCGTTTGGCTACTCAATCTCGAACATTCGGAAAGTGTTTTGTCAAGTTCTGTGAAAATAATCCGCCCCATGTTTCTTTAGACAAATGGCACCAATCTCTAGTGAGTTCAAGGTCAAGTTAGATTATCGGGGATTAAGTATGTTGTGGCTAGTGTCATACCGTCGCTGGCGTGGTTAGTTAACATACATGACTGATGAGGAACTAGACCTGAATGTCACCTCCCAATGTGGCATGGAGTGGAACATCTTATTGTGGCATCTCAGTAATGTGACATCTCAGCGTGACATCTCAGTAATGTGACATCTCAGTAATGTGACATCTCAGTAATGTGACATCTCAGTAATGTGACATCTCAAATTGACCTCCCAACGTAACAGATCGATGTGGTCAAGATCTGTAAATTAAAAAAAATAATTATTAAAACCAAATTTAATTAATCAGCTTGTTACGTCAGTCTTGTTGTGACGCCAGTCTCGCATTACATCGGCTGCAGAGGAAAACTCTGTTTTCACTTCAATTCAGTGAATTTAACACACAAAAACTACAGTTAATTTATTTAGTGTTTTAACAATATATAAAAACTATTTTTGGACTTGTCTCGTGTATATAGTAAAAATAATATCTTTTAAACAAATTAGTAAGTTATTTTCAGCTGAGAAGTTGTGTACGTATAAAGACAAACATCTTTAATTGTATTTGTCAGCTTACACTTAGGGCAGAAATCATTTGTTGTTTATTTTGTAACTAGCCGCATATTAACGACTTGAGGTGTAGCTTGTGGCTACATTCAATGTTTGCGTGTAACTAGCCGCAGATGAACGACTTGAGGTGTAGCTTGTGGCTACATTCAATGTTTGCGTGTAACTAGCCGCAGATGAACGACTTGAGTGCACAAATCAAGAACCCCATCACACTGGTGCTAGCCCTCGACCACTCTCACAACAGCCCAGGTTACAGACATGTTTGATTAATGCTGTAGACAGGACAGGCCTAGAACTGAGACAGGTCGTGTCATTATGTCTGGAGAATTTTAAACCTGAGAGTGCGAATGTCCTAGATATCAACTTCCGCCTTGGTTTTCTTTCAGAGAACCCTCGACGACGTGTCCCCAGACAAAACGGTCCCCACCAACTTCTGGAGACCACTTACAGTCCTCAGACTAAACCGATTATCCTATGGGGACAGTTTTCGCTCTCTCGAAAACAGCGAACATTTAACTGACAAGAACTGCTGCTTAAAAATCAAAATCACGTAATTGCCGAAGTTATGTTTGAAACGTGATCTTGTGAGAGACTTCAACGAGATAATTTCTCAAGACAAAAATAAATTACTTAGACAAAATGTCTAGGGACAAAAGAACTCGAGGAAATTATCTCAAACAAAACACATAAACTTCTTTGGATATTCTGAGTTGTCTAAAGTTAGACAGACTAATTTCGTGATCCTGAAACCATAATTTTCCCTAACCAATGCCCCCAATTTTACAAAATTACGAATGTTAAGACAGTCATGTCCCCTTATTAAGTTTACATGAGTTACGGTGCTTGCGAAAGTTCGTTATCTCACTAAATAAAACCAAGACAAATTTCAAACAGCGAGCGATTATTTTGTCAAGCATTCTTGATTCATTATTTCAAAGTTTTTTATTAAGCTGCCTGTATGTTTACATTATTATAATGGCTACTGAGGAATTTGCGATGAAATCAAATCAATTCAGTGCTAGATTAAGTTTTAGATCAGTACTACAGGAGTAGGTGAGACTGTGAATGTTTCCAACACCACATCGCACAGGAAATCATCTGAACACCTTCTCATGGTTTACTTACACAACACATCATTCAATGTTTACAACACACCAGTCCACACCGCTGAACTTCTCTCGGTACGAACACATACACGCGCACATACACACACACACATACACACACATACACACACATACACGCGCACATACACACACACATACACACACATACACACACATACACATAAACACACACATATAAACACACATACACATAAACACACACACATACACATAAACACACACACATACACATAAACACATACACATACACACACACATACACACACACACAAACACACACATGCACACACACATGCACACACACATACACACACATACACACACAATACACACACACATACACACACACATACACACACACATACACACACACATACACACACACATAAACACACACACAGACAGCGTTTACAACACACCAGTCCACACAACTGAACTTCTCTCGTTACACACACACATACGCGCACGCACGCAGGTACACACACACACAAATACACACACATGCACACACACATACACACACATGCACACATATACACAGTTATACAGAAACTCATTTAATTATTTCTAGCAAAGACAAAGATGTTAGGAAATGAATTAAACACCAGTAAAATCGTTTTTTTAAAATGTTTTTGTCGCCGGTAAAATCGAAATTTCAAAATGTCTTTACCTCCAGTTCTTCTTCTTCTTCTTCGTTCTTAATTATTAGTGTTGAAGAGGATCGAGATTTATCTGCCAGTGGGTTTGAACTCGAGACTTTGTTCGAATTTATCAACCATGAGCGCCGACTCGACCACGCCTCCAACACAATTAAGTGCTACGTGTCAACTGGTTATGCGCCATTGAGGCCATTGACTCCGATTTCAGCCTGATTTTCTTTTTGGATTTGCTTCAATAGCCTTTGTCCAACCAAGAACAAGCTACAAGGCAGCAGTTGTTTAATTTTGGAGTTGTCTCTCCTAGAAGAGTGGCTGTCCCCAGCTAACGAGCCTCATCTGCCCGAGGGTTCGAACTCGAGACTTTTTCGGTTTAGCAACCATGATTTACCGACTCGACCACGCCGACCCGTTTTACCTCCAGTAAATTCTACCTTTAAATGTTTTTGTCGCCGGTAAAATCGACTTTTAAATGTTTTTGTCGCCGGTAAAATCGACCTTTAAATGTTTTTGTCGCCGGTAAAATCGATGTTTTGAAATAGAATTTAATTACCCTCGACTGGAGCACCAGCTAGAGGGGGCGTGGCATGTGCTTTTTGTGTTTAAAACTTAATTAGGGGACACCGGAACTGCGTCACGGAGGTTATATTTAGAACTGCAACGCCTCGTTGTGTCTTGGTTTGTCCAACATTTCTAGACGTTTACCGGGAATTAGCCGGATATTAGCCGGACATTAGCCGGATATAAATCGGAAATTAGCCGCGAATATATAGATAAAAGAAACGGCGATGTAATTATTTAATTTTTAACCGATGTAAATTGTCTTACACTAATGTAAATGGTAATCGTGAAATAGGCGATTGGCTCGTGTTTAATATTTTGTCTTGTGATGGATGTGTTGTGTGTTGGACTTGAGTTGGGGTGTGTTGCTGGTGTGTCGAGTGTGTGTTGCTGGTGTGTCGAGTGTGTGTTGCTGGTGTGTCGAGTGTGTGTTGCTGGTGTGTCGATTGTGTCAATGCAGAGTTTGAGGTCTGTAGCGTGTGCCGACTCAGCTGCGATAAAGGTTTAGTGTGTGAACATTTGGTCAGCTGACTGAGTCATGTGTCTTAGTTTTTGCTACAATAAATATAACTTTATTAAAACAATGATGTTATGTATTATAGTTAATTCCATGTAAATGGCAAGCGATGGTATACATTGCTAAAATAAATGTTATCAGACAGACAACGGATAACAAATGTTGTCTACATGAGCTGCAGGGGACTTAACTTCCTGGATGCTTGTCTAATTAATTGCTCCGTGTCTCGAGGCATTGATTAATTAAAAATGCAACCAGCGCTACACAAATGAGGATTGTGATATTTATGACATTTTTTTGCTGTCAATTGCCATGGCGTGTTATTTTTAAAAAAAAATTCATAAAAAACGTTTTAATAACAAGCTTTTATGTAATGATGCACTAAAAAGTAGAAAATAAATTATAGACTACTATTTAAATAACTATAAAGAAAAGCGTGGGTCACTTTAGTATCTATTGGATACCTTTACTAATGTTAAAGAAGACACCCACGCTTTTCTTTATAGTTATTTAAATAGTAGTCTATAATTTATTTTCTACTTTTTAGTGCATCATTACATAAAAGCTTGTTATTAAAACGTTTTTTATGAATTTTTTTTTCAGTACTTTACATGTTTTATTTACAATAGAGTTACATGACTAAAAACCATTGCTCGCCTACTGAACATCACGTTCAGTAGGCGCGCAATGGTTTTTGAACGCAGCCATTACGTGGTCGTGATGGCGCAGCTATTGATGACGCGTGTGGTGTGGTTGGCTAGACATGCCTACTAATTCGGTCCAAATTTTAATTAATTCATAAAAAATCAATTAGGCATCCAATTAAGTCAAATTTAGTTTCAGATTGCATTGTCTTCATGTCTTGACCCACGTGCCAACTGTGAATCGTGTCGGTCAAGTAGAACTGTCCGAATTTTCACTCCTGCGTTTCCGTCTAGACAGACTGTCGACAGACTGACGACAGAGGAAGTGAGTTAAATAAAAGCTTGTAAAAAAACTGATTTAATTTTCTTATCGACTAAATTCTTCATCTTCGTTCTTATTGTAATATTGGATGGGATTTCCTCCGACACAATTAAAGGCCCTTTTACTTAGACTACAGCTTCCTTTAATTTATAGATTTGTTTACACAGCATTTGTCTAACTAATAACTAAGTAAAATGCAGCAGTTGTTTGATTTTGGAACTGTCTCTCCTAGATGAGTTGCTGCCCCCAGGGTTCGAACTCTGGACATTTGGAATTATTTTCAGTCAAATTGTTTTTCGTTTTATTTCGTACCGGTGTTAGACAAACCGAATGTTCATTCAAGAGATTCGAACCCCTCCCCCCCTAACACAGTTCATACTCACATTACCTCGGTCATCCTATCAAGAGATTAAATATGAGTATAGAAATAATCCCCCACCCCACACTTTGCCACGGATGTATTTTTAATCAAGTTCAGGATTATATACAAGTAAACGTTAATTTTGAATCCATCTTATTTCCCTTATAATATATCCGTCTGTCTAATTATGGCAATTATCAGTGTAGACAAACGTACATCTATATATATAATTCTCTTCTTCGAGCCGTTAGAAAACAAGCTGCAAACGCTCTCCCTACCTCCCCACCCCTACATGGTTTTAGTGAGCTGTGTTCACTCTAAATGTTTACAAGCAGAGCCAACGATTTTAAACGTAGGGGGGGGGGGGGGGAGGGGGGGGGGGAGGGTAGGAAGGGGGGGGGGGGTTATGGTCCTTAACGAGCTACTTATAGTGTTTTAAAGAAATATTTTCAGT